TTCTGTAATAATCTTTATCTTGGCGCTTTCGAGCGAGGAAATAACAAAACTATAAAAGTAATAAGTATCATTAATAATTAAGCCCAGCTATGTTTGTTTATGAAGGAAAAATAAGAAAAAAAATTCCAATCAAATTTTATGAGATAAAAGCAAATCCAAAGAAACGCTGTTGTCTTGTGTCTTTGTAAAAATGATTTATTCAAAACTTGCGACTTGTATAATTAATTTTGTTCTTTTCTTGTTATGTCCGGAGCGTGATTTGACAAGATAAGCAATAAGCCCACCTTTGTGTATTAAACAGTCAGAATACTATACATAGAAGGAATGCTGGCATAGTCCATTCAATGTGCATCTCGCGTGATAACGGCCTGACTTCATTTCGACTCATTATCAAGGGGTTATAATTTTTTTTTTATTATTATTGACAAAGTCCATCAACAGTGTGATTTTTTGGACTCACAAACCTTCTCGAGTGAGGCATTAACTGAAAACTTTCAACAAAATGTCTGCATCTGGAAAGGTAAACAACCCATTAGCTTGTTTAATAGTTAAAAAGTAAAATATTCCTCCAAAATATTATACTTCTAGTTCCGTTTTTTTTTTTATTGTCTATCATATCAAACTTTAAATCAGATTTAACGACCGAAGCCGATTTAAATCTTTTTTGACTTTGCTTCACAGATTGTGAAAAATATGATAAAACATGAAAGCTCGATGGGCCCCATCGTGCTTTTTCCGTGGTAATCTTTTTTTTATTTTTTTATGGAGGGAGTGAAGAGGCAGGGGCGGTAAGGGTAGAAGTAAATTGTAATTTATGGCTTTGTTTAAAAGTACTTTCACAGTGTAAGGTTGCTTTATTTACAAGAGAACAGACCTACAGAACAACAACACCAACACAAATAACCAATTTACAACGCGTTTTTCAGAAAATTGTGCAAAGCGAAGGGCTCAGACGTGAAATAAATGGCGGTCTACGCCGAAAAGATAATGACCACGGAAGGTAAAGGCTAAAATATTCTTTTAATTTGGATTTTGTTTACAAAATCGACCGTCAACACAGTGAAAGCCGAGGCTGAAAAAAAAGAAATCCAAAAAATGAAGTGAAAACCTGAAATTCTTTTAAACCCCACAGCCATGATCAGGAGCCAGGTACTTATTTAAACAATTTGACACTAGCCTATGTTATAACGTATGAAATTGCGATATGTGACTATGTGATAATAAGGCCATTTTCGCTCTCTTATTTTATTTATTTTTTATTTTATTTTAACTTTATATTCAACAGTTCCAGGCCAGCTTCTGTGTGGGGATTTCAGGAACCAGGTACTTCCTGCAGCCTTCTATCTGAATGAAAATGTCAATTTTAAACAAAATGCTACATCAGGAAAAATGAGCAGACAAGGTTGTTGTTGCTGAGGAGTGCAGCATCTAATGCAGCAGTCATAGTATTAATCTAAAAGAATAACTAAATTTTATTTAATATTTTCATTCAATAGTGCTTTTGCTGTTCATATACCCATTAAATGTTAGTTGTGATTTAAGTCTTTTACACTGAAAATTGAAGTGAACTATTTCAATTTATTTTTGAAGTACAGAGTTTAGATGCTAAACTCGATCGACTACCAGCCGGTGTTCGGGAAGTGAGCCCCGGCCGCGCTCCTCCCCACGAGAGAGTGACGGAAATCGAGCCTAATCAGATGCAGTTTTATTGTAAATTAAGGTACTCTTATACTAAGAATAAATTAAAGCTTTTGAAATCACCACAAGCTGCTTAATGTGTATTAAGATGTATGTACTTGAGTGTGACAGTTTTTCCTAAAGTTAATTAAGTCACACAAACCGCTCGAATCCAGTTGGCCCTTAGTCTCCCTCGCAGCCGTTTTTAGTATCGTCACGCAACGCTTCTCCCCACCCTCAATGCTCTACCCATTGAGCTTATCAAGCCAACTGGAGAGCAAGTCATTGTGAGTTCGGGATATATGACATGAATTGAAATATAAGAAAGTGAAATCAATATGATCATTGCAGTAGAAGGAACAACATAAGTGGTTGAAAAAGAGCCTGAAAGATGTAGGCTTGACCGAGGGAATGGAACCCTGACCTTTGCAATGACCGGATGCAACGCTCCATCCATTGAACTAATCAACCCAACTGTAGAGCAAGCCATTGTGAATTCACTACGCTGTTAAATAAATGTTTTGTTACATCGACAGAAATGATGTGATGTCTGCCGCTTCTTCATTTCCGACCAGCTTTCTACAGGAATGCCCCAGTTTCACTTGTCAAGTGTAAAAGGAAAAAACTGTGCCAGAGGTCTTGAGTGCGACCCGACCAAGACCGGCAATTAACGTACCGTACTTATTTTGTTCCCTCTCCAAAAAAAAAAAAAAAAAAACAAAAACTCAGAAACATTTAAATTCTCAGCCTTCAACTTACGTATTTGGGTTGATGTACCGCGCGATCGACGGCAAATGTGATTACTGTGATTATTAGAAGAGTTGAGGTTTCTTCAGTACAAAGAAATGTTTATGTCTTGGTAGACAAATCATGATCTGTTTCTCTGAAAAACAAAGATGTAAGGGAATCTGGATTCTGGAATCCGAGAAATTTTCGCTTATGGAATGCGATATTCTTGGAATCCGGACTACAGCTCAAGGAATCCGGAATCGCACTTGCGATTGGAATCCGGAATCCTAAGTTACACTGACAAAATCTGGAATCCAATACCTGGAATCCGGAACGAAAAAAAAAAAGGTTCAAACCGGTAAAAGCGACATTACTGGCCGCCTGTTTTTCATTACCTATGATTAAAACGATTTTCTATCCAGGCTAATTGATGCTTGATCCTCCTTTAGATATTTTGTCTGAATACACTTTTTCTTTGCTAGAGATAATAACAGCCCATGATCACAGAGTTTCACTCATTCACTCACATTACTCTAGATAAGATTCTAGACGAAGTTGAGTAGGAGCCGGAAGACGAGACCTGGTTGGACTTTGATTGCATTGCCAGCGGGAAACATTATTGGAACTTTAAGCTCATACACATCAACGCAAACGGTATTGCCTGGATTCAAATTTCAAGAGATCAAATGAGACGTGTTTGGCCTGTCAACGCTTATTTCTTCGAATAAATGAACAGAATTTTTAAACGTAAATTGTAAAAGTCTGTTCATCGTTCAGTTTTATCCGATTAACAAACGCGAAAAAAATCTAAAAAAAAAAAGACGTCCGCAGGAGCCTATCCTGAGTCCGCGTTTTACAAGTCCGCGTCTTACTAGTCCACATTTTACAAGTCCAGTCCAGTCCAGTCCAGTCGAGTACAGTCAGCGAAATACAGGATGCCCTTCTTTCTGGTAGATTCGAACTTCTAATTATTTCAGAGAGCAAAATCGACGCGACGCTTCCGAACAGCATGTTTTACTGCTCACTCAGTGATAGTTTCCGATTGTGTCGTGATAGAAAAGCCGGCGACTCGGGGTTGTTGATTTATGGTAGTTTTCACATCTGCTTTATCGGAGCCAAGCAGTTAAAAGGGCTCCCCTCAACATTATTTAAAAAAAAAAAAAAAACTTTCTCTCACAGAGGATTTATCCCTGCCAAATCTTTTCGGGAAATTTGTCAAACATTGCGCTCACGCAGGATGACCGTGCTGTGTGTCCGTTCTTCTGTCTCCTCTATTAAAACCCTATCAAAGATGATGCTCATCTATTACAAATGTCACAGCTTAATGGGTCGTGGCGTATTATGGAAACATTTTGGCGGGACAAATCTTAACCCTTTATTCTTTGTTTTCTTTCTCCATATACTTTTATTTTTTCTATTATTCTAAAGAAGAAATTTTGTTTTAGCAACCTATGATTCCTTTGTAATCATTGCGTTTATTATCATGATCTATAAGCTGGTATATTTTTAAGAGAAATTAAATATTCGGGTCACTTTAAGGGTTGAAGGGATAAGCCGTCGGTTCAGTCTCCATTACCTTACCATTACCTGGATGTCAGTCTTCTGGTGACAATTAATGTTACAAAAATTCAATTCAGATGTTTAGTTTTCGTTCACAGCTCACTGTAGACATCAGATACATTAGGAATTGAGCAAATAAAGACTAAACAAAGGCAAATTCTTATGGATCAAACTGACGTGATGAAACTACTCATTTTATGTACATAAGATATTTGCAGTAAGCGGCAAAAAGAGAACTAGTTCGGGTACAAATAGCTGCTTACCATAAACCTAATTCATGATTCATTTATGCCTCTTTATCTTCTTCCGATATGCGGTTTGATCATGACGCGTGGTTAATAGCAGGCCTCGGTTGCTTAGAAGTTGGACAGCATTGTTGAAATCCATTCATCGGATAAATCGCTATCAAGAGGATAGGTTAATATCGATACCCAACAGCACTATCCACTAAATAGTAATTTATCCTTCAGATCACTTGGATAACACTATCCACCTTCTTAACTTCTAGCTGGGGCTAGATGTTGAATTGGTAAGCGATGTTTCGCTAATGGGGCAAGTATATTCTGGAATTGAAGTCTGATGATTTCTATCGATTTTAAAACTTTCATTTTTCAGTAAAAAAAATATTATGGGTCGGTCAATTAAACGAAGTCTAACTTAGGCCGCGGTTTAGCAAATCTGGACCTCTAGATATCTTCATCACTGGGTTATTTTATGAAAACAAGTGTTTTTTCTAATCTGCGCCTTATGCTTTCTTGAAGCTGTTCATGATAAATGGTGTTAACTCATGAAAAAGTCTTGGAACGCGTTTTTGTCAAACACTGGCTAAGCCCCGTAAAATAGCTTGTCCATTAAATGTACCAATTGGATTCCAGCAGTTAGTCATAAATACTGAGTTTTTGTTTTTGTTGTAGTTAAGTTGTTGATCGAAGAGAAACTATAAACGCCGTTCAAGTACAGAAGGGCAAAAAATTGTCATGGCAAACCTTGATTAAATCTCCTGATATAGCTACGCCGAAAGATATAAAAACCACGATGATTTCAATAGTTTTTATTCCTAGTATAAGAAGAGTACCTTAATCTACAACAATACTGCATCTGAACTGTAGCTAAAAAAATGAATATAGTTTTCTTTTCAGTTGAACCTTCAACGTACTGGGAAAAAATCATTGCTTACAGTTCACATGTTTATGATGCAATGACAGCGGCGATATTTAATCGAAATATTAAATAGTGCTTTTAAAATAACTTCTTCACATCAATACTGCTGCTGCACTCGGCTCCTTAGCAACAACAACCTTGTGTGCTCATTTTTCCTGATGTAGCAGTTTGTTTAAAATTAACATTTTCATTCAGATAGAAGGCTGCAGGAAGCACCTGGATCTTGGAATCCCTACACAACAGCTGGCCTGAAAATGTCAAATGATAAAAATTAAAAAAAAATAAGAGAGCAAAAATAGTCTAGGTATAACATTTCTATATGTCATAATAGGCTTTAGTCTCAAATTAGACTGTTCGCAGTCCCCTATTTTTTCCTAAGTTCAAATAAAGATCGACCCGGCTTTGCATTATACGGGAGGTTTTCTTGGATTTGTGTCAAATCTCCTTAGGGGGCGGGGGACGATAGACCCCGCCGACGCCCGCCCCTTGTTGCAAATGCAAAAGCGCTTGATCCTGACTTTCTTACGAAAAAATAGGGGACTGTGGACAGTCTAGTTTCAAATTATTAAAATTATTTCTTGGCTCCATGGCTGTGGGCAAGAGAAAATAATCGATTTTCTCTTGCTGTGGGTTAATAGAAAAAAGAAATGTCCTTGAGATCTCAGGAGTTAGCGGTTCATTTCTTTTGTTTTACTTCTTTCAACTCGGAGCGCATTGTTTCGAGTTATTTTTGTGAACAACTATACAGTTTTTGATGTTATGAATATATGAAAATTATATATGAGAACTGCGGGGTGAAAAATTATATGAAAGATTAGGTCATCGCATGATCTTCTTTCATATAAAATAGCCTAGCTTTACCTTCAAGGTAATCATCCTTTCGCAAACCAGTATTTATCTGACTTCTGAGTTCTTCGCTTTGCAAAATTTTCTGAAAACATCATGATAATAAATACGTTATTATTATGATTAATAATTAATATTTTTGTTTTACATAACTGTTTTCTTGAAATAACGAAGCCACGGTAAGCACCTATAAGTATTTTTAAATAAAGCCAGAGAGAACAAACCCTCCATCCCCTTCGCATAAGCTTTTAACACTTCCTTTTCTATACAATCTGCAAAGCCACGTCAAAAGTTCAATTTTATATCTTTTCTCAAGAATGTGCAAGAAATCTCATTCAAAGTTTGTTATGATAGACACTTATCTTTAAAAAAATTATTTCTATGGAAATTCAGAGGAATATTGTAACTTCTTTACAACCTAATGGGACATTTACCTTTCCTGTTGCAGGCATGTTTTTGAATTTTGAGATAAAGCTTAACTTGTGAAGGTTTCGAGTTCAAGATCGCACTGTTGATAGCACTATGCCTTTAGGCCTTTTATAGTCCTTGATGTTGTGTTGAACTGAGTCAGGCGATGATCACGCGAGATGCACATTGAGTGGACTATGCCAATATCCCTTCTATATAATAGTATTTTACCTATAGAACTTAACAACCGATTTCAGCTCTGCAGTGATAAGCTGGGTTAATTGTTAATCTTGTCATATCCTGCCCCATCTGACCTTCTTCACACGTACGTCAAATCACTCGAGGAAAGCTAAACAAAGGATTGAACATACACGAGGCATAAGAAAAATGTTTCTTTAGACTTGCTTTTTTCTTGTATTTTGATCAGGTAAATCAACGTTATTCCTTTATATAATTAAGGATTTTAAGGAAAATAACACAGGACAGGAACACTGGAAAAACACTATAATTGTTATTACGGCATGAAAATTCTAAGCAGACAAAACAAGCTTTTGTGATGATTATTATCATCACCGCTTTCGATTCAAGCAAGGAAATCATATAATAGTCAAAATAATAAGTATTTATAATAAGTCTAGCTATATATGTTTGTGTTTTGGAGGAGACATCAGTCAATCATAAACGCCAACTAAATCAGTCGGACATGTTTAGCTTTGTTTCTTTAGCTTTAAGGATAATATTTATTGCTATTCATTTCATTTTGTGTATCACGTGAGGATAACGTTAATTTTGATCGTCTTACTTATACAAAGTATAGCTCCAGTGCCCTGTGTAGTATCTTACAATACTTTTAAAAAGTTCAAGAAAAGTTTTTGGCAGAAAGAAGAAATAAGTTGCCGTTTCAGTCGTTCTAACACATATTAATTTATATATGATATGTAGCTAGCGAGCCATCCATCCTATGTCTTCATTTAATAGCTTTTCACTCTTCCTGTAAGTTTTAAGCAATAACCATAAATTAAAATAGCTTTGTAAAAATAATTTATGCATTTTAAAGCAAGTCTTGTGACTTGTACTTAATTTAATGTTTTGTTTTTTTTTTTGCAATGTACTAGCGTTATTTGACTTAAGAAAGTCATAAGATGCAGGCATATGACAAGATAAACAATTTAACCCACCTTTGTGTAACGTACAACCTCAGAGATCGGTTTGTTGAGTTCTATATACAACACTGCATCTGTATATATAGAAGGGATATTGTGACAGACATAGTCTCTTCATAATTTAAGTGCACCTCGCGTGATTATGGCCTGACCACATTTGGACACATTATCAACAACTATAAAAGGCCTGTCGATGAAATCCATCAGCACTAGTGATTTTGGACTCACAAGCTCTCTAGACTTGAGTGAATTCTTTACTGAAAACTCTTAACAAATAAGATGCCTGCAACTGGAAAGGTAAATGTATCTCTAGCTTGTATAAACGTTATTATATTCCTCCGAAATTTTACTCTTTTGACAGAGGTAATATGGTCCAAAGTTCTCTATTATAGGAAAATTTGAATCAGATTTAACAGCCTTGGCAAAATAAGATCTTTCTTGAACGAAATAATATGTAGATGATTTATGACTGTGCTTCACAGATGGTGAAAAATAAAGTTATAAAACATTAAAGGTCGATGGTCATGATACTTTTCCATTTTTATTTGTTTGGGGTAGGGGCGGAAGGGGCAGACTCTGTGACGTTGTTTAAAAGTACTTTCAAAGTTTGACGCTATTTTGTTTTAAGAGAACAGACCTGCAGAAGAAAACGATTAACAACAACAACAACAACAACAATACTAAGCAATTTATAAAACGTTTTTCAGAAAACTGTGCAAAGCGAAGAGCTCAGACGTGAGATAAATGGCTGTCTACGAAAAGATGATGACCACGAAGGTAAAGGCTAAATATTCTTTTGGATTTTGTTTTCAGAAACAACTCATCACAATGAGCTCCGATGCTGAAAGAAAGAAAACCAAAAAAATGAAGTAAACACCTGAAATCTCTTTTTCGTATGGAGCCCAGCACCAAATTGGCACTAGCCTTGCAAATATGACACTTAGACCATTTTCGCTTTCTTGCTTTATTTTTTGTTTTTTTTATTTTAATCTATTTTCATTTATTTCATTTATTTTAATCTATTTTCATTTCACCTTTCAGCTAAGATCCTGTGCAGGGATTTCAAGATCCAGGTGCTTCCTGCAGCCTTCTATCTGAATGAAAATGTTAATTTCAAACAGTCGGCTGCTTCAGGAAAAATGAGCACACAAGGTTGTTGTTGCTGAGGAGTGCAGCATCCACCACTGTTGCAGTGTTGATCTAAAAGAATGATTAAATACTATTCAATATGTTCATTAAATATTGCCTATGCTGTTAGATTATTGACAAATAAACTGTAAGTTGTGATTTAAGCCCTTAACATTGAAAGTTAAAAAAAAAAACTTTTGTCTTTGAGTGTGACAGTTCAGACGCAGTATTGTTGTAAATTAAGATACTCTTCTACTAATTATAATAAAAGCTCTTACTAGAAATCGTCACAAGCTGATCTACGTGTCTTATGTGTATAAACAATTGATTTAATCAAAGGTTGCCGCGAACATTTTTGGTATCTTTTGTACTTTAACGGCGTTGGCGGTTTGGTACATTAATTGGACAGAGCTCATTGTGCTGAGAAATAAAAAATCAATCGACAGATTTCATTAGATGCATTCCCTTTCTTAAATTCCGATTAACGTTCAACCGGAATGTGACCGTTATACCGTAAATCCCCTATTAAGCCCCCCCCCCCCATAAAATAAGCCCCCATCCCTCTAATAAGCCCCAATTTTCAGAGAAGGAAAGTTAATAAGCCCCGGCCCCCCTGTATTTAAATCAATCTCGGCTGTAAAACTTCGTGTGGGTGGACTGACATCCCAGTAGGAGAGAAGAATTTGTAGTTATACCTTTAACCCCTAAAGTGACAGAGGAGGTATTTACAGGGGCTACGTCACGCGCTATTTGCTAACTTTTTTAAAAAGCTAAAACGTTCTTCGCCTCAATGGATTTGGAAAAAAATGGCCCCGTTTTGTTATTTGAGCCGGAGTATATTTAGGCATTGAAACTGTTCCGTGTCGTCCAGTTCAACGTATGGCAAAGATGGACAAAGATTGAAACTTGAATAAGTTGGGCCAACTTTTTGACGCTATGCCTACAAGAATCACCCAAAAAATTATTAGCAGTAACAGGGGCGTAACTACCTGTACGCACGGTAAGCACGTGCGTACCTGAATACCTGAAAAGGTCGTGGGTAAAAAAAGTAACATTATATAAGCTAAATTAGATAAAAACAAAAAAGCGAATTGTTTTTAAAAAGTAAATAAACAAATGAATAAATAAATAGTAAAAAAATTGCCTCAATTTATTTACATAAAAGGTGGTTGGCAAATAAAAGATAGTTTTGACCAGTCGCCTAAAGAGAGGCCAAGGTAACAAAGGCCTTTTTTGTATTCCAATTGGTTAATAATTCTCCCTGCTAAGAACGTGCCGATCTTGAAAATCGTCCCGGTCCCTTTTCGCAAAATGATCATTTGAAGCCGAAATTGTGCCGTTTGTTGTATTTTTGCCATGAATCGAGAACGGCGACCCCTATTTTTTATTAGTGTTTTTGCTCATTGTGGCTGCAAGAAAAATACGTTTTTAAGAGAAAAAAGAAATGAATAGTAGAAGTTGTATCATTTAGATGAATGACACTGAACTCTGCATTTGGTGATAGAGGAGTATGAGATGATGTCAAAACTGTCCATTATTTTTACATTTTTGGTAGATCAGATAACTTGATGCCTACTTTACTAAAAAAGTTATGGCCCAGGCAAAATAGATTCATAGCTTTTGCTTAATGATATGAATTTTTGACAGTTGTTTAGGTTTCAAACATTTTGCGCCTTACTAGGGGAAAAACTTCATAATAATCACGGACACGACCTCATCTTTTTATTGAAATTTTTAAATGTCCTTTATATGGCTGTCAATTGGAAAAAAATCTGGATAGTACATCCTTTTGAAGGGAATTAACTGAAAGGAATTAAGACAAAAAGTTGTCTGGCTGTTATGTTCTAACAAATTTTGGCTAACACAATCTCCATCCTCCTATCCTACGCCATGAAAAACATCTGCAGATTTCAGTAAGTTCTTACTTATACTGCATGACCAGAAAAAACTCCTTTTTACAAACAATATGTTAACCCTTTTTATGAGATTAAAAGCAAGTCCGAAGAAAAGTTTGTCTTGTGACTTTATTATTATTAATTTTGAATAACTGGTGAAAATTATCGTCCAGATCTTTTTTCCCTAATCGGACCAGTCCAAATGCCTATTTGTTCTAGAATTAAAAGTTGGTTTAGAGTATAACGTTAATAACATTATGCAGCGCGTAAAAAAGAAAAATATCTGAACTTGACCAAAGAAATGAGTAGAACTTACAGATGTGTGAAATTTGTAAATCTCTCCTTGAGCTCGGGGCTTGGGGGTTTTCTCCGACGAATGCTCCACGTTCTAAGACATGATGAATGACATTGGCATTGACAAAAAGAAGCAACTTTATATAATAAAAAAAAGAGAGATATAAATATAGCCATTTAGAGCAACATGTTACATCTTTTGTTGTAGAAATAGACATTGGGATAGCCCAGATTTAATGCAATTTTGATTTGATTTTCTTTTCTTCTTCTTCTTGTTTTTTCACTTTTTTTTTTTGGAATAAATCAATCTCAAGCAGCATTTATAAATTGCCTATACGTAGCGAGATTTACAATTGTACATTAAACACAAATAAAGTTTCCATTAATGTACTAGCGTCCTTCGCGTGATTTGACTTTACTGATAAGATTAACAATTAACCCACTTTTGTGAAACAACATCAGAGACGAAATCCGTTGTTGAGTTCTAGACACTACACTAGTTACATACAGAAGGGATATTAAAATAATCCATTCATGTGCATTTCGTGTGATCATCGCCTGACTCCAGTTCAACACAACATCAAGGACTATAAAAGAGCTATAGACAAAGTGCTCTACACAGTGTAATTTTGGACTCACAAACCCTCACAAGTGAAACTTTACCTGAAAACTCTCA